ACACACACACACACACACACACACACACGATGCTGTTTTACTTCCTGCCCCTCCCCCACCAGTGAAGAGTGGAGGGCCCGCGGGGTCTGTCTCCAAGGGGCTTGGGCTGTAGCTTCGTCTCTGTCGTTTGCTCCTGCGCACACTCGTGGTGCATGTGTGCACACTCAAGTTGCACACACAAACTCGCACACGCGCATACCGAGTACCCCAAGCCGGGCCGCGCCTGCTGCGCTCTTGAAGCCCGGGAAGCGGGCAGGTCGAGACACGAACTATACCAGCCCAGACAGCCTGCATTTCAGCTCCAGCCTACAACCTCAGGCCAAACCGCCGCAAAAGTAACAAAGTTTTATTTCGCTTTCAGAGTCTCGGGTTACGCTTCTGCCATTTCCTGTGGAAAATTGAAGCTTTGAAGTATCCCGCCGGGGCCCTGCACGAGTTCTCCAAAACTAGCGCCTGCCCCTCGCCGCCGCCAGACCTGCCAGTTCTAAGTCACCCAGCGCGGGGTGACTTAGCTCTACGGGAGCTCAGACCCCGCGGGAAGTGACCCCCACGCCGACAAGACCTCCGGAGTGTCGGGGTCTTCAAGCCCGCTCCCCGTGACAGCTGCAGCTCTCTGCAGAGACCGAAGGGGCTTCTCACGCTGGTTCCCTTCCTGGGGACCACCGTGCTTGGCTCAGAAACCCCCAGGAGAAAACCAGAGCAGGGAGGCCTCCCGAGCCACTTTCCTGCTCTAGGCGTCTGGGCTGGGCCAACTCGGAACCGGCCGGGCCCTCCTCCCTAGCATCAGGGCTTGAGAGGGGGTGTTCGACAGGTACCGGACAGCACGGTGGACGCAGAGGGACGCACCTCCACCCCCTAGTACTACAGTCAAACTCCTGGGCATGGGAGGGTGGTGTGTGAAAGGTCAGAACAGAGTTCCGGTAGGAGACATACGAGTATGGGATGGAAACAACATCCAAAATACCTAGCGGGGCTCCGCCCCAGGCCCTGGGAACCTCAAGACGCTGGGGGCGGGGCACAGAGAACCCGGCGCACCGCGTGGGCGCGCCGGTGGGCAGGGTGCGCACTCACCGTTGGCGTTCTTCCCGCAGATGAGGTGCTGGTAGGGCTGCAGCAGCCCCCAGATCTCCGAGTCGTTGTTGACTGTGTGTTCCAGCGTCTCCACTGTGAAACGCGGTGCCTCGTGCAGCACATGGTGCGCGTGGCCGTGGTTGGCGGCGGCGGCCGGCGGGGCTGCGGCTGTGGCCTGGGCCGGCGGGACACAGCAGCTGCTGCCCCCGCTTGCGCTACTGGGGGCGCTGCCAGCACCGCCGCCCGCCGCGCCCCCTCCGGCAGCCTCGCGCTCCGCGTCTGCAGAGGGCGCTGCTCCCGGGCCCGGGCCAGAGCTGGAGCTAGAGCCGGAGCCCGGGCCGCCGCAGCCTCGAGGCAGCCCCGAGGCCACAACGCGCGCGTAGATGTCCCGGAACAGGCTCTCCAGGCAGGCCGTCAGGTAAATGGCGGCGTGCTCGTGGATGCGCAGCGCCACGCGGCTGTCCACCATCCAGCGGTACACGCGGCCCACGGAGAAGGTGAGGCCGCAGCGCGCCGACTTGCCGCGGCCCAGGCGGTCTCCGCCCGCGCTGCTCATATTGTACAACGACAGAGCGGCCAGCGCGGCGGCGGAGCAGTGTGCTGCCAGCCCCCAGGACAGCACGATCTCCATGGCGCTCTGGATCTCGTACTTGGTGCACTTGGCGAAGCGCAGGCTCAGGCGCTGCGCCTCCTTAGCGATGCGCACGAGCGCGCGGCTCACCAGCACCGACAGCCGGGCCAGTGCGTCCCTCGGGAGCCCGCTGGGGACCGAGGGGCCGATGCGGGGGTCGCGGGCGCGCAGCAGCAGCGCCTCGAGCTCCTGCAGCGTCCAGGGCACCTCGTCGAGGTCCGGCAGCAGCCGCGGGCAGTGCTGGCCGGCGCAGTCCAGCCCCTCAGAGTCCTCCACCAGGGCAGTGTTGACGGTGTCAAAGCTGTCGTGCCGGCTGTGCATGGAGTCAGCTAGGGGCGGCCAGCCGCTCCCGCCATACGGGGACGCCGGGTGTGAGTCGGAGCAGCACAGGGACAAGTTGGAGGAGCGCACCGAGTCCGCCGCGCCACCATAACCCGAGTCCAGCGTCAGGTCCTCCAGCGTGCGCACCACGGGCTTCTTACCTCTCCTGGCCATCGCTGCGCCACCTCATGCTGCGGCCGCCGGGGAGCCGGGGCAGGAAGGCGGCAAGCGGCGGGATCCCCGCCTCGGCGCACTCGGACCCCGGGCGCTGCTCCCGAGGTTACCACTCCGGGCTACCCGAGCACGCTGCCACCGCTGGATGGCACCGGGTAGAGCCTGAAGTCATCTTCCAGAGCCCGGGCCAGAGCTGGGGCGCACGGAGGCGCGGCGAGCCAGGCCGGGAGGGAGGCTCGTGCCTGGACTCACCCCTTTCATCCAAAATCAGAAGTGTCCTCCTGGCCGCTCCCTGGCCAGGATGGGTGCGGAGACCCGGGCGCTGGTTCCCGGGTGCGCAGGGCGGAGACGCCGCCGATCCTTGGCCGCTGGCTCTGTTTCTAGCTTCCGAGTCGAGCTCGCCCGCACTGAGCCCCACGGCTGCCGGGCCGGCTGCAAACGCCGCGGAGCTCCGTACACCCTAGCCGCCAGTGGGCGGGCGTATGCAAAGCAGGGGCGCAGAGAGCCAATGGCAGTGAAGGATGCTAATTACTTCGCCTTTCTTTTCAAATTCCTCCTGGCCACGTGGCCCCGCCTTCAGACACGCCCCCAGCCTGGACCAAGGCTGAGCTAGTAGGGGGCGGTGGCTTGGGGATCAGGGACCTACCCGGCGGCCCAGGGACACGGAGCTGCGCCCTGCTGCAGTTCCCACCCTCTGGAACCTGGGGGTGGCAGGCTGGGCCGGGGCCCGCCCCTCCGAGGCGTGCTCCCTCCAGCGGTCACAGAGTGTGTGTTCAGGGTCCCTCTGTTGCTGCCTTTTACGGCCTTCCTTGGGCCTGGATTGGCTTCAGCGTGGTGGGGCCAGGGGACCCACACCCCTGGGAGGCGAGATCTTCAGGCTCAGCCACCTGCCAACAGGACCACTAACAAGGTTTTGCTTGGCAAGCAAATAGTGGGATCCTGCGCCTGTGCTTCTTAGGCCCTGAGCGTGCTGGAGGCGGAGCTCACTTGGCCGTGCCGCTGGGCGTTGCACGTTACAGTCAGCTCAGCTTTGCTTAGAGAGCAAGCTAAGCATGGCTTAGCTGCGTTTCTGGGTCAAATGGCGTTGGGCAGAAACCCCAGTTCCCACACTGGGTTTAGAAATCCCCTCCGGGAAGCCCCCAGACTCCCACAATTTGCGAGCGGGGCTCTCTGGGGCCCCGCCACACTAGGGTTTGCCCCACACAGGCCTGCGCCGAGCAGACTTTCAATAAATAGTCCCTGCAAGTTTGATGAGGGAAACATGCTTCTGAGGTTGGCTGGACTGTTCCGCAAGCTGTGAAAGGATGCCTAACGTCACTGGTGGTCAGGGACCCCCGAATCAAGCCGCAAGGAGATGCCAGCTCACACCTGTTACGGTAGGGATCATTAGGAAGCCAAAACACAGGGAAGCACACAAGGACGTGGCGGAAGGGAGCCCCTCCACGCTGCTGGGGGTAGAAATGCGATGGGCCACTGTAGAAAGCTGCGGTAGAGATTCCTGGACACAGTTACAGTAAGAATGTCCATGCGGTGCAGCAGTTCCACTTCTGAAAATGTCCAAGGGACCACGTGCTGGCAGGGCCACTTGCTCCCCCAGCTTCATCAGAGCAGTATTCACAGAAGCCAAGGTGTGGAAACTACCCGTGTCCACTAGAGAAATTGCAACGTGTGTGACAGAATATGGTGCAGCTTTTAAAAAGGAGATTGGGCTGGGGAGATAGCTGGTGGCCTAAGTGACTGCCTGGCAAGCACAAGGACCCTGGTTTGAGCCGTGGGTACACGGTGCTGGCTACGGAAACTGGGTGTGGGGGTGCACACCTATAATCCCAGCGCTGGAGAGGCTAAGACAGGATCACTACGAGTCCTAGCTGCTTAGCGACACCTTGCACCAAATAAATAAAAAATTAAAAAAGAAAAAAAAAGGAAATCCTGCAGTCTGTGACAACACAATGACCCAAAGGGCTTTACGCTAAGAGAAATAAGCTGAATACAGAAAGGCAACCGCTATATTATGTCACTTGCAGGTAATTTTTTAAAAATCAAATTGATAGCCAAAGGGACTAGAATGGTGGGGAGGGAAAGAGCACCAGTCAGGAGCACACACCGCAGTTAAGGGTGGCGATCAGACGTGCAGCGTGGCACCTCTTGTTGACAGTAATGTACTGTGTGCCTGAGATCGGCTGGGAGTCGATCTTACAGCTTCTCACCACACGCAGACAGAAAGCTAAACATGTCAGAATACAGTGTAGTCATTCACAGCTACATGTCAGAAGGTCACATAGCTCGCCTTCACTATCAATACTTTTTATCTGTGAATGAGGCTTCCGCAGGTGGGGGGCTGGGCAGGGGTCACATGATGCTTCTACCTGTGAGCCCAAAGCCACCTCACCTGTGACTACTGTCCTAACGCAGACGTTCCTCACCTCCGGCTTCGATGGTTCTAACTTTCTACCAAAACCATCTCCTCTCCTACCTCTTCTTTCTTGAAGCCATCTAGCCTGAGAATCTTCCAAAAGCCAGTCCTTATTTTCTTATTCAACAAAAACTGCCATATCAAAATATTCAAAGGCTCCCTGCGGCCTTGCAGCACTGGGAGTGCACCTGGGGCCTGCCTGTCAGGACTCTGGCGCTGCCCAAGCTCTTTTCCTGGCCCTCTAACCCTCTTTAAGGTGCACATAGCCTTCCCTGAGCTGAGCCCCAGATTCTTCAGTGGCCTCTCTCACCGGCCCCCAGAGCACACACTCGGTCCTGTGCACACGTAGATGCATGTACCCGGGGCACTGGCCAGTCTGAGCCGGCTGCTGGAGTGGCCGTGCCCTCTCTTGCGTCTAATACGCCTTTGCAGCTGTGCTGCTGCTGTTTACCGGCACTATTGCTTGGACACTCATCCTCTGCCTCCCACCTGGCCACAGTCTTCCTGCTCTTCCTCAAAGAACGGGCTGCAAGTTGCCCCTGCAGTGCAGTGTCCCCCATGCTGTCTGCTCACTGCCAGATCCGGGTGGGGATGGGGGCTCCCTCCCCGTTGGGCGGGCTTGTCCCCAGGACCCTTCCCTTCTGTGTGTTTCCGTGGCCATCTCATCTGCCCCACGCATTCACTTAGCACCTGTGCTGACCTGTCGGTAGAGCTTGAGAGGCAAGAGATCCCAGAGTGTGCCACAAGTGTAGGAAGAGGAACGCATCGGAAGCCCTGAGATCAGTGGGCGTGGTGTGGACGTGCTGCCTCCCGTGGCTCCAGGGCACTGTGGCTCCCAGGTCTGCCTGCTGCTTTCCAATCAATTCCCCCAAGTTGTTCATTCACCTGCTGATGCCTCCGTGTCCCGTGCTCCAGGTAGCCGTGCTCACCTGAGAGGGATGGAGTTAAATGAGATTTTTCCTTTTATCGATGTAACTCGGGGTCCCATGCATGGTAATGGCTCTATGCATCTCTCTCAGTTTCTTTTCAATTTTCCAGTTTTCTGAGTAAACACTATTTCTTGTGAATCAAATGAAAGCCCAGTAGTTCTGCCACACAGTCTTCTCACACCGTAGGTGTGTGTGTCTGTCTTTTCTCTCCCCGCGCAGTGGCAGGCTCCCTACAGGCGGTGGCCTCGCCCTAGCGTGACGCCCGCGCTGCTGGACCTGCACCTCGGGACCAAAGCCCCAGGCACAGGACCGCTTTGCTTGTGGAAGTGAATGATGTGTGGTCACCTTGAGCCAGTAGGGGCGAGGATGCCCGGACACTGACACTAGTGACACAGCAGCATTCTGCCAGAGACTTTCGTCTGGGAGAAGAAAGAGAGTACGAGGAAAAGGAAGAGGAGGAAGAGCAGGAAGAGGAGGCCAGGGAGAAAGAGGAGAGGCCAGGCGAGATGAGAAGAAGACAGGGGCGGGGAAAGTGATAACTACCACTGACAGCTTCTGCTACGGTTCAGTTTAAAACTTCCCCAAGCCTTGTCTGTTTTCTGGAAGTGATCTGCCTGTGCATGTGTCCTCTATAGCTTACCTTTATCTATCTGTGTTTACACCTCGATCTCTAGCTAGGCAGAGGTAGCTCACAGCTGGGAGTGTTCTGTAAGCCATTTTACACTCTGGTCTTTTCTCAAAAAGATGCCCTCCAACCTTATAATGTAATCATTTTCCCCACATTATTCAATATTCATCCAATACACATTTTGTGGCTATAAAGTAAATGTTCCATCATATGCTTGTGCCTTAATTGGCATATATATGTTTGTGTGTGTCTTTTTTTTTGGCAGAACCGGGGATTTTTTTTGAAGCATGAGGTGTTTATTTCTAAGGCAAAAGCTCTAAAACACACTCATTGTAGAAAATGAATTCCAATAAACAGGTTGGGTTTTCATCCCATAGTAAACACACAAATCTCGGGCCAGACGCGAGAACTCCCAGGGAAGCAGCGACTGGGAAGAAGTTTGTGTCGGCCGCCTCAGTGTTCTCCTCTGACCTGTCTGCGGCGACTGTGTTAGGACAGTGACCACATGGCTGTCCCTCGCCTTCAGATCACGCGGGAGGCCAGCACAGCCATCTGCTCGCGGTGTGATCCACGGCCCCCTCGCACGCACGCAGGCAGTGGGCAGAGCTGCACGGGTGCTGTGCCGAGTGCGTGGGGCAACACGCATGCGTGACATGCTGGTTTCCTTAAGTTACAGGCACGCATGGTGACTAATTCCAGTTTAAAATGCAGCAACTGTGACTTTCCCAGCCCTCACGCTACCTACGCCCATGATTCCCATGATTCATGGCCAGGACCCTTCTTCCTCTGCCTGCAGAAGAGTCTGACATGGTGACCGCCTTCGTCTTGCAGAAGGGATGGCATCTTCGCTTGGTCCTTTTTAATACAGATTCTTTTGAACCCAGGGCCTTCAGACTGAGCTACATCCCAGTCCTGTTTTGGTTTTTATTTTGAGAAAGGGTTGCTAAGTTTCCCAGGCTAGACTGAACATTGCCATCCTCTACCCCAGCCTGTAGAGTGTGGGAATACAGGCGTGCACCACCTTCCTGGTCTTCAGATTAGCTGCCTGCTTCACTGGCTTCTCCTCCAGATTCTTAACCTAGCGCGTTGGAGCTCAGCACCACTTGCCTGTGCTTACCCTCTGGATGCCGAGCTCTTACGCAGTGCCATGGCTCCAGGCCTTCCCCCTGCAGGGAGAGGCAGGTCTTCGTGTACTTCCTGACATCTTTATTCAGATGGCTCACAGATATCTCAAAGCCTGAATTCTGGATTTCCTTCCTGAAGCCCTGGTTCTCTTGTCACGTTTATCAAAGACCTGGATGCATTTCTGATTCCTCTTTTCTTATTTTCTTTTAATCTTGGTATTTAGCTTTTATTTTTTTATTTTATTTATTTTTTCAATAATTTGATTGAGAAGCAAATAGCAGTGAGACAGTTTCAAATCCGATTAGTAGGGCAGTTTCAATAATTAATACATTGCATATTGCTGTCTTAGTGGTTATTCA